TACGTATAAATATGTTTTATACATTCATTTGTATTCAGATTAGTTTGAAGTTTTACCAATGTAATTACGTTAATTGTCTCTTATTATAGTAGCGACGAAATTTCGAAATAATTCACGTACGTTCTAGTGAAACAACTGTAAATAGTAATCACTTGTAAATCAAGTATTTATCCTTATTTATTTATAGAATGAAAATTTATCTTCATTTCTTTATTTACAGTTACTTATAAACCAACATAAGATACAAACGTTTTCACACGTTTTCTTTTATTAAATACCATGACCTCGGTGGTTTTTGCACAATTTTGACTATTAAAGTTATCAATTGATCTCGCGGGATGTTGCATGTTCTTTCAAATACCTAAGCACAAAGATCTTGCAACTTTGAAAAGATTAGTAAATGCGGAGTAGTCAACGTGTGATACAATCACGAATTACATAGTGAATTGCGATTATATTTTCGATGTGTTTTAGAGAATTGTTTATTCAGATTATTAGATTCTGAATTGCGAATTGGTTTTTTTTTTTTTTTGGTAATGTATAAGGGAGTAGGTAATACTAAGATATTGTGAAAAATTAGAATGCTTTTTGATTAATATAATATAATAATGTAATATGATTTTAATATAATAATGTAATAATTTTGAGTGAAAAAGAGCGGAGGGAAAAAATAAATGGCAACATAGAAAAGGGTAAAAAATTTCCGAGTCCTAAGTTCTACGGATCTACATACGTCGAACATTGAAAATTGATTTTACAATTACAGTTTACATTTTACAGTTCTCGAATTCTGGAGCGTTAGAACACCATCTTTTAATTTGAAGTGTTACGCTATCGCTAATAAAAGCAATAAAGGCATCGCAAATCATGTAAATATAATTTTTTCATCGCGAGAAACCTCAGCGAACGATAATCTAATTATCGAATGTCCAGAATTCGTTCTTCTTTTTTTTTTTGTCGATCAGCGAAAACTCGATGGTAATAATAAATTAGAAACGAAGTGTGAGAGGAAACTTGCGACGAGACTTTCACAGTCGAATTATTTAAACAAAGGCGTTTCGTACGAAGATTACTCTTATTGACATAGTTGACATAGTGTAGGGATACAGCTCGGTTGGACGCGAAATTTCTGCAAAAGAAGGGACCGGGGCGGAGAGAGGGAGGACGTGAGATGGTCAGACACGACTATTGAGGCAAAACGAATATCTTCTCTCCGACTCCAATCCGCCGAGACGGACCGTATTATCGGATATTATCGGGCCATACGGAATTTCGGGGCCGAAAATAGTCCCGTACAGGGGAAATTGCTAACGACTTAAACGTTGGGGCGGTGCGCAAAGATATAGTAAGTCCCACGGGCCGAGTTGTGATGGATGGGTCCTTGGCCACTCTGTAATTTGAAAGCGTTATATGTGCACCCTGACGTCGTGTACCTTCGTAACCATCTCCCCCATATGTCCCCGACCTGTCCTCTTTAACTCCGTGCAGTCGATCATTGCTTATAGTTTAACCCCTTGACCATACAATGACATCTGACAGACTATTGAATTATTAATTTGTTTTTCCATCATTTTTTATTAATTTCGTTTATGAGTATATTGTGCTTGTAATATCTTGCAATATAAATATAAAAGCGTAAAGGTGATCTTTGTTAAGTTTACGCAAATGTTGGAATGAAAAATAAATATCAGTTTCTGGTTATATTTCATTTAATTCGTATTTCAAGGGGTTAGCAACGCGAATGCATCTTTAATGTGATAACTAATTTTTCTTTAATAATTATTAAAAAATTTACGATGGTACTTGTATCTAATGTTCATAAGGTTATACTAGAATTTCATTCGATTCATAGAAATAAAAGTTTTAAACAAATGTGGGTAACCGTATGTTCAAGTCAAAGATAAGACAAGCAGTGTGCGAACCAAGCAAGAGAGAAAAATGATGTAAAAATCAGGAGTTCATTTAAATCATTCGTTTGCAATGAAATTTGTACGTTCATATTTGCATTTATCAATTTCAACATTTGTTATCACATTCGTGTTACTTCACTCGCCTTCGAATTAGTGAGATTTAAAAAAACGAAGTAAATAGGACAAAAGTTAATTACATTACATGTACTATAATGTAATTATATTATCATGTTATATTATTACAATATCATATTATATTATTACAATAAAATAATATTTTATTATTATTATACAGCAGTTATTATTATTATATTTGCAAGTTTTAAAGTACTGAAATTCGCAACGAT